TTAAGCTCCTGAAATCTACAATGCTAATTTACCTAGTCTTGGAAGCCTGCTCTAGTTATCTGCAATTGCAATTTTACTTTAGACAATGAGAAAGAAGTATCTTAATTACTTGCAACTAAAATTTCTTACTCTGGGTGATATAGTATGACCTGTAGTACCTATGAACTCTCACAAATTGTTTTATGCTGGGTCCCAAGATTTTAGCACCTTGCTGCTGCAGCTAAGCATACAGTCAAGTGATGAAAACCCATAGAGCACCAAATGGTGGGTTGAAATGGTAAGATATTATGAAACCCAGGGAGAAGTTTCTTAGCCAAAGGGAAAGCAAGCCAAGGAAAGTGTTGGGAAGAAGAATGATATCAATTAATTGATTAGGTAGGAATACAGTTATTAGTTTTCATGCCACCTCACCAAGCAGCTATTCTGCCGACAGCCTTATGATGTGGTTGAAAGTAAAATGCGGCACCTGGGTGGCTCAGTCATTAAGCGTCTGCCTTCAGCTCAGGTCATGATCCCAGGGTCCAGGGATCAAACCCCTCATCGGGCTCCCTGCTCCGCGGGAAGCCTGCTTCTCCCTCTCCAACTCCCCCTGCTTGTGTCCTCCCTCTCACTGCCTCTCTCTGTCAAATAAATAAATAGAATCTTAAAAAAAAAAAAAAAAGAAGAAGAAGAAGAAGAAGAAGAAAGTAAAAGCAAGGGGTTTGTTCCAGGCAGGAAAGAATATAAAAAGTGTTATTTACAGGTTGGCTCTTGAAAGTATGTATCTAAGGGCAATTTTTTCTTTCTTTTGTCTCCTGATAATAGCCTATAATAGGTTAGTGGGATTGTGAACATTACAGTCTCATCATAGCTAGAGAGGTCTAGAAGCCACTAGGAAATAGGAGCCAATCTGTTTCTTTGCCTCTTTTGCAGATGCTTTAACAGAACCATTTTTTTTAAAGATTTTATTTATTTATTTGAGAGAGAGAATGAGATAGAGAGAGCATGAGACGGGGGAGGGTCAGAGGGAGAAGCAGACTCCCAGCTGAGCAGGGAGCCTGATGCGGCACTTGATCCTGGGACTCCAGGATCATGACCTGAGCCGAAGGCAGTCGCTTAACCAACTGAGCCACCCAGGCGCCCGAACACAACCATTTTTGTTCACTCAACCATTAATTCATCAAAATTTTAAAAACTGTGTAATAGGCTCACGCTTGAGATAAAATAGTGGAGAAAAAAAAAAAGTATTTTCCTTATAGAACTTATAGGGCACAAAGTAAACTCTGTCTCCTTTTTGTGAAGAAAAACAAAGGAAAGTAAAAGAAAAAAAGGAAGTTCAACAACCCCATGGAAATCAGTTCTGGATAGATTTTTATGTTTTTCTAGTTCAGTTTACATTCTCTTTTTAAACATTTTATATTTCATTTTTAAGAAAGAACATTAAATTTTAGAAATAAATTACTTTGTAGAAGGCAAGAAGTGTATGTGCCATTTTCTACTTAATTTGAATTATAGGATAAACCTCCTGACTGGTCTCAAAGAAACATTTTTCTTATTTCAGAAACATTATGGTTTGTAATCCAACCTTGTATCTGTATAATTATTAACCATTGGACTATCACCTTGGAGAAATTGTCCTGGAATTGACATCCCCCAATTTTTCCCATTACCAAAGGCAGAAAGTACCAAAAATTGTTCTTTTCTTGTTGACTATCTGGGACTCAGACAAGAAGGAAGAATAATAAGCATTAGATGATAATCTGCTGTCTTCAAATAAATCTAATGATTTGGGGGTAAGGGCTCTCACAAATAAAAATGTGGTCCATATTAATTGACCTTCTTTTACATAATCCAAACAAGCTAACATTAACTATTATTAGATAAAAAATGGGCTTTGAGAAGAGTCATGGCCAAAAGGATAAAGATGATTTTACTAACACTGCAAATAAGCTTAACCACACGTAAATATTTGTACCCATCAATAAAAAATATCTATCATTTCAAACATACATGGAACATTCACACACAGAAACACATCAATAACAAATTTGTTGAAATATCACAAATTAAAAAAAAATAGAATGCAAATCCACAACCACTGATCAAATGCATTAAAATTAGAAATAAACAACAATAAAAAAAGAAAAGAAAAAATCTATAAACCTAAAAATTCTGTAATATCCTCCTAAAGAACTCTTAGTTTAAAGAAAAAAAATGTGGACAGACACTACAAACCATTTAGAAATAAATAACAATGAAAAATACTAAATACAAAACTTCCATATATAATGAAACATAACCAGAAAAAAGTGATAGCCTAAAATATTTTCAATAAAAATCAAGAAAAACTGGAAAAAAGTGAACTAAGCTTCAATCCAAGAAGCTTTATTATCTTTAAATAATAAAAGCAACTAAAAGGGTAAGAATGCCAATTCTTAGAGTTCTTTCTTAAAGAAAAAAAACAAAGATTAGAAAAATGGTAGATTTGATAGGTATGATATGATTGTATATTTTAGAAATTCAGAAAAAGACAAAAACAGAAGACACAATTAAAATCTTACAAATAGGGCGCCTGGGTGCCTCAGTTGGTTAAGCGACTGCCTTCGGCTCAGGTCATGATCCTGGGGTTCTCGGATCGAGTCCCACATTGGGCTCCCTGCTCAACAGGGAGTCTGCTTCTCCCTCTGATGTTCTTCCTTCTCGTGCTCTCTGTCTCTCATTCTTTCTCTTTCAAATAAATAAATAAAATCTTTTAAAAAAATGTTACAAATAAATAGGAGTGATAGATTAAATATATAAATGATTTCTTAAATTATCAAAAAATAGATATTTAAGCCATCTTTTTAAAAAATATTATGGTAACAATTGATTTTCTGAAAAATAAACAAACTAAACAATTCACAACATTTTTTTTCTGAGGAAATATAAAATCTGGTCAGGCAGGAGGAAAAAAAACAATTAATGGAAACTACTGTATTCATAAATTATGGGAAAATATTATCACCTGAATATAACAAAACTTAAGCCATATAGGAGTGTAATACATAATTCCAAACTAAGCCGCAAAACTCAATATTCATAGCAAGTAATGAATAAAAGGAATTTTCTGAATATGTTAAGGAGTGTCCAACAGAAGAGAATATTCTTGGTGATTAAATATTAAAAAACATTATTATTAAGGGAAGATGTTGATGTCTGCTATTATTTTCATGATTCACCATCTTTTGATAAGTCCTAACCACAGCATACAAAGAAGTTAAAAAAATAATCATGGGATATACTTACTGAAAATCAAGAGTTAGAGGTGTCCTATTTCCAGATGCCATAATTGCCTACTAGGAAATCTAAGTGAATCAATGGACAGCATATTAGAAACAAAGAGTTAATGTTAAGAAATTTAAGTAGAAACATCTTCAGAATACCAAAATCAAAGCTTTTCTTCATACTGAATACTATTTTTTTAATTTTTTTAAAGATTTTTATTTATTTATTTGAGAGAGAGAATGAGATAGAGAGAGAGCATGAGAGGGGAGAGGGTCAGAGGGAGAAGCAGACTCCCTGCTGAGCAGGGAGCCCGATGTGGGACTCGATCCCGGGACTCCAGGATCATGACCTGAGCCAAAGGCAGTTGCTTAACCAACTGAGCCACCCAGGCGCCCCTGAATACTTTTTTTTAAAAAAAGATTTTATTTATTTATTTAAGAGAGAGAGGGAGAGAAGGAGAGAGAGAATCAGCAGGGTGGAGGAGCAGAGGGAGGGAGAGAGAGAGAAGCAGACTCCTCCCTGAGCAGGGAGCCTGACGATGCGGGGCTCGATCTCGGGACCTGGAAATCATGACCTGACCCGAAGGCAGATGCTTAACCAACTGAGCACCCTAGGTGCCCCTTAATACTATTTTATATACCAAATACTACTAAAATGTTACACCCAAAACATAGCAAATCATGTTGCCTTCCTCTTGACCTTCACACCTGAAATGCTTCTTCAGGGCTGCTTGGGTGGTCAGTCCAACCTGAGCCATCAGGGAGACTTGCTGTGTTTCAGCCTACCTTTTTGTTTTTCCATGTACTTTCTCAACCAGGCTTGTAGTTCCCACTTGAATACTACCCGGGTATATTTATTTATTTTCTCTTTTCCCTGTCTACATGTTTTTCCATGATTGAACCGAACCTCTTTTTTTTTTCTTCATCTTTTTCCTCAAACCAATCTTAGTACATACACAAAATATTAGGAGATGTGCTGTCACCAGAATGTCAAAACGAAGTAAACGTTATTAGGCCATTTGTTCATGATTTTTTTGTCCATACCCTTCTAGAGTTTGCCAGGCTCTTCCACCAGATGCTTGCACAGGTATTTAGTGGAAACAAATTTAGATTTATTTTATTTGTGTTTATTTGTGAGAGACAGAGACAGAGACAAAAACTACAAGGGACACTTGTGAGCTGAGCTGTCAGACAAGTAAGCACATTTCCAAATGAGAAGACTATTTAAAATGAACTCTCATATTTCAACTTAGTTCCTATAAATTACTTGTTTTATTTTGTAGCACCATCTCAATGTACTCCTTTTTTTTCACAGAAAAGACCATAAAACTCATAAATGCTTGATTTTTAACTCATATATTAAGCATGTCCCTTATTGCTTTACTATACTCTATTGACTCAACTTTTTCTAGGAAAAGAAAAGGAAATGTCAACCAAATATATTGCTGCAATATTTACATACATTTGAATTTTCCTTTTAACTGTGTATCTGTGTTTTAAAATAATTCTGCTGTGCTCAAGAGCATCTGTTCAAACCTTCTGCACATTACACTCTTGAGAGAAGCAGGTCACTATGTGCACATTCAATTGGTTTAACAAGTGCTCTTAGTTCCTTGACCTTTTTGCCTTATTTCCTCCTCAACCTAAAATATTAAAACATAATTTAGGGTCCCCCAAGTAGTAAGTATTCTTTTTACTTAGATTTGCCATAAAAGTCACCATCTCCAACCCAAATTCTATTTGACATGAGTAACTTACATATTTAATCTCTAAAAGCCTCTTCTGTGATATGCGTTGGAATGATGCAGTGCACTCAGATGATTTTACCTTCAAGGAATAAAATTACACATTAAAATATAAGAATAAATAATATCAAACTACTCTGACCAATTAAATTGTGTGTGTGTGTGTGTGTGTGTGTGTGTGTGTGAGAGAGAGAGAAAAGGAGAGAAAAGCTACTATACTGTTACCAAGAAATGACCTAGATCCCTTCTCAAAGTAATGATTTGTCAAGAACACTTCTACTGGTATAAAATGCAAAGCATTGCATAATTCTATTGGATTTGGGTGTTTTTCACTAAATTCTAAGATCACAATGACTTTTTACACATGTCTTAAAGGATGAAGAAGAAGTAGATGTAGACCAACAAATTATCTTGTGGATGTAAGGTTATAATAGTGTTTGAATAAAGTCAAGTTATGATTTATAGTACTATAATATTATAGCAGACAGACACAGAGATTTGACTTTTATACTTTTTGTTTTTTCTTCCTAATATTCCAGGTTTCTTGCTTTTATCATTTTCTTTCTGTTTATGGAATTTCCTTTAACCATTAATTTAGAGTAGATTTGCTATCCACAAATTGCCTTAGGATACCCTTACCTGAGAGTGTCTGGTGTCCTGGGTGTCATTCCTGAAGATCTTTTTCACTTGGGTACAGAATTATAGGTGGCAGTTACTTTCTTTCAGCATTTGAAAAATCCTGTGCCACTTTCTTCTGGCCTCCATGGTTTCTGATGAAAAAAATCACTGTGATTTGAATGAATTGTCTCTCTGTAAGAAAGGTAGCATTTCTCTCTCACTGCTTTCAAGTTTTATTTTTCTTTGTCTTTAGCTTCAGAAGCTTGGCTATGAAGTGTCATGGTGTGGTTTCTTTACATTCCAATCAGAGTTCACACGGTTTCTTGAATCTGTAACTTTATGTCCTTTGCCAAATTTTGGGGAAAAATTGGAAATCTACAGCCATTTTTTCCCTGTGAGCACTTATCAGTCTTACCTACTTTCTCTTCACCTTCAGGGATTTCAATGACATGAATATTAGATCTTTCATTACTCCTATACAGGTACACACAGTTCTGTTCACTTCTTTTTTTCTTTTTCAGTTTATTTTCTCTGGGTTGTTCATATTAGATCATGGCTATTTTTCTATCCTCAAATTCACAGAACCTTTCTTTTATCCCTTCTATTCTGCTGTTGAGCACATCCAGTGAGCATTTTATTTGTTTATTGCATTTTTCTCTTCTAAAATCTTCATTGGGGTCTCCTTAATGTCTCCTCTTGCTTGGTTGAGATCATATTTTTTCATTTGTTTCAAAGGTGTGTGCAGTTGCTCACTGAAACATTTTTTTAATTGCTGCTTTAAAATCTTTATCAGAAATTCTGACATTTCTGTCATCTGACTGTTGGCATCTGTTGTTTTATTCAGTTTGAGATCTCCCTGTTTCTTGGTATAATGGATAGTTTTCTACTGGAACATGGACACTGGATCTATTTAAACCTTCTGTGTAACTGACTTCCTCTGATAGTGATCCCACAGATGAAGGGGAAGGGGAAATGATGCCTTGTTTCCATGGATGTGTGAATAGAATTTAGAATTCCATGCTTTCCATTTGGCTCATCAGGGTTGTGAGTTCCAGCCCTTCCAGGCCTCTCATCATGCCCCTGTAGCTGAGACATGGTCTCTACTGACACCACTTTAGTAAGGGAAGAATGTGGATTAATTCCCCTGGAAGCAGGGAAATTCTTGATTCCCCTCTAGGCCTCCTGTGTCATTACCAAGGAGGAGATGGGGGGAGTCACCTTGGTACAGCCACCTGGGGTTAGAGGTCTGTGCTCCCAGCATGGTCCCAATGACACCTTGTGTGAGGCTGGGTGGATGTTGGGAGCTTCAATACCCCTGGTGAGGAAGAAGCCTCCCATCTCCATAGTTGGTGTAGGGGCCAAGGGCAGGCTGCCCCAAATGTACCACTTTGACATATTGATTATTTTGAATAGAAACTATTTGAGGAAGAGCCTGTGCAAGGACACTTGGACCTTCCTCTGGCTCTCTGAAAGTGGGAGATAAATCTCCCACATCAAAGTTGCCTTCCTCTTACTAAGAAGGAAAGAAAGAAGGGAAGAAAGAAGAAGAAAGAAAGAAAGAAAGAAAGAAA